ACACAAGCAGATTAAAAAGAGACTACGATTAAGCAAATTAACAGAGAATAACATCAATTTTAAATGGTATTATATTCCTCTCGGCAGTCTCAAGCGTCAAGATTCCGAGCGATTCTTCGTTCCTCGCGTTTTTCCACGTTTTACTTGACTAATGAGAGAAGAAATACATATCGCAGCAGTTTCCCTTAATTCTGGACACCGAGGCTTTCCTAGGCTCGATTTCCGATGCAGTCCGGTCAATAATCGAGCCTACAGCTTTCCCCGAATGTTAATGTTCAATCATACAACTATGGTTCAATCATTTCAGCTGCTAGATAACAATAGCACATTACCATTTTATGTACAGCTCTCGTGGTTAAGCATAAAAACAGTATTTATTGGTTACATTGTGATTTTTTTTGTCCATTGTTCAGTTAAATGAAGTGTTGTGATTGTTTTAACACTGTACACGGATAACCGAATAAAGTCAATTGTGAAGAAGGCGTTCTACAGCGAAATTAATTTTATTACAGTGCCGGTAGCGCTCAGCTATTGGTCGACCCTCCCCATCCTGTCTTCCTCTCTACATACGCAGACAGCAATTTTCTCGGTTCACATATCCGATATATAAACTAGAAGAACACTCACTAAATAATTTAAAGGGATGGTTTGTTGACATTGCTTTAGATTAACAAAGAACGGCGTGAACAGCTAAGCATCGTGGTGTTTAGTTTTATATAAAGCAAAAACATATCATATCAAACATATCATGTGTACAGCTAGAGTGAGACCACCCATCCTCGGAGACCCAGGGGCAGTATAGTGGGGGCGAGCGAAACAAATCGGCGTTCTCTCCTACTGTTCTTTGCAGATCAGTTTTTCGCTCGCCCCCACTCGCCCCAGGGTCTCCGAGGATGGAGACCACCATGTTTTTCATGGACCTTGGTTATCAGTACCCTGGATATAAGCCCCCGGCATATTAGCACCCCACAAAGCCGATATTTAGTTGTATAAGCCACATAAGGGTCTATTGTACGTGAGATTTCACGCTATGTATCTTCGTAATTATATGTAACGTTTTAAAACATTTGGAACTTTACGGGACGATTTTAAAATTAAATAAATGAAGAAGTGTTCGAAATTGAAGTGGGAGAAGTGGGACGAAATTACTTTGTACGGAATTTTCCAAGCAGTGTACGTTTGTGAGAGCTTAATTTAATACTGACCGGTAAAATGGTCCCAAAAACAGATTCGACTTTAGAATAATAAAACGTAAATTGTAGATCTTGAATGGCCAAAAGCAATTCTTTGAAATTTAAATCAATCTGTCGAATAATAAGAGTTTTGGGATAATACAGTGAAGCTTATTGCTGCGTCACGCTTTATACCGAATATTAAACTTGTAATCAACCATATCGCTAGAAACCTTGACAAGAATAACACTGGGAGAAAAGACAAAGTGAAACGTAAGAGACCAAAACATTTTGACATTTTTTTCTCTTTAAACGGTGCATTATTAATTTTAAACAAAAGTAAATAAATGCATCTACAGCTACATAAATCTCGAGTTGAATTTTAACCACAAACATCCGCGTTATAAGTAAGCTTATTACAACACGCTATTCTTGTACTAAACATTGGAACAACAAGCCTTCCTCCAGACCAAATTGCGGAGTAAATGTTGCAAACGGGAATAAAACAAAAAAACAACCAACAACAAAGAAAATACATGTGTACTGATGCAAATTGAAACCTTTCGCTTCAACTGATGACCGCTCACGGACAAATATAAGTAATTTAGTACGTAATTGTATCTTACCGTAAGGCCGGTAGTCCTCTGGGTTCAGTCTCGGAATACGCGACAAAAAGTGAAATGATAAAAACAGGTATTATTTATATACCCTGGTATTAGAAAAGCTGTCCGTTGTTCGCTTGGCGAATGGATCTTGCATACTGTTCAAACAAGGATTGCATGTTAAGCATTAACCCGTAGTTATTAATTTTGAAAATAAACACTGTGACGGCCCTGTCTTGACATAAAGCTTTCATCTTCCAACTTGGCAGTTTCGAGTGCGCCCGTAGCGCGGTGGGAGTCGTAAAAAGACCTAAAATTCCGGGACGTGACTGAGAGCTTTTAAACAAGCACAAAGCGAAAGATGCGAGCGCTAGGAAACCGTTCCTTTCCTCTCCACTAACTCTCATCTTGTTTAAAAAACACCGCGTTTCCAGCTCACGCTGGCCCTGCGCTGGTAGCCTGCGAGCAGGCTCTCATAAGCGCGATGAGCGCGGAGCGCGATCGTGATCCTTAGTATTGCGTGACGTTCGAGCGCGGAGCCACGGCCTCGCGCTCCGCGCTCGAACGTCACGCAATACTAAGGATCACGATCGCGCTCCGCGCTCATCGCGCTTATCTCGTCCCACGCCCTCGCGCTCCGCGCTCGAACGTCACGCAATACCAGGGCGCTGGAATGGATGGGCGGTGAAACGACCACTGCGCTCTTGTGCGATGTTTGATGCGGAGTGAGACTGGGTTTGAGCGCCCTCGAGAGCGCTCGCGTTCAAAACATGTCGGCAAATGAAGTTCAATAGCTGATGCAGAAAAGGGATTGCCACAAGAGAACGGTACGGGATCTCCAGTTAGTTTTTGTAGAATGAACATGTCAACATGTTGGTAAAGCTGTAAGCAATAAAGAACGGGTTCAATATGTAAAATCAACAACGATTTTATTTAAAATAAGTCGAGCTGCTTCGAAACGCGTTGCTCTTTTAGTGTGGGCGCGAAAAGACAGACGTTGACTGCCTACGATCTAAACCAAACAAAACGGTAATTTTCGGCGTATGCATAGAGCAACCTTCGATTTTTCATCAGTGTAAATTTCATTTTGAACTTTTTTGAACTTTTTGTGCTACACGCCATAGACGTCAGTGCACAGTTGTTCTCTCATAATACGGTGAAATTGGTCATTTGACGTTGTTGTTTTGCAGACCGGACGGCTAAGAAATGTACCAAGTGCAGAGCCATTGTACGAGAACGTCACAAAACAATAGGTGTAATTAGCAGTACAATGGCTTTGCACGCGTGCGTTTTACATATTGGTACATTTCGTAGCCGTCCGGTCCTTCTGCAAAACAACAACGTCAAATGACCAATTTCACCTTATTTTGAGAGAACAAAGTTCTGTGCACTGACGTCTAGAGCGTCTAACTCGAAAAGTTCAAAAAAGTTCAAAATGAAATTTACACCGATGCAAAAGCGAAGGTTGCTCTATGCATACGCCGAAAATTACCGTTTTGTTTGGTTTAGATCGCACGCAATTAACGTCTGCCTTTTCGAACCCACACTAAAAGAGCAACGCGTTTCGAAGCAGCTCGACTTATTTTAAATAAAATCGTTGTTGATTTTACATATTGAACCCGTTCTTTATTGCTTATAGCTTTACCAACATGTTGACGTGTTCATTCTACAAAAACTAAGTGGAAATCCCGTACCGTTCTCTTGTGGCAATCCCTTTTCTGCATCAGCTATTGAACTTCATTTGCTGACATGTTTTGAACGCGAGCGCTCTCGAGGGCGCTCAAACCCAGTCTCACTCCGCATCAAACATCGCACAAGAGCGCAGTGGTCGTTTCACCGCCCATCCATTCCAGCGCCCTGCGCAATACTAAGGATCACGATCGCGCTCCGCGCTCATCGCGCTTATGAGAGCCTGCTCGCAGGCTACTGCGCTGGGTGCGTGGAAGCTGGCTCAAGTCGCGTGGGCCGGACTCGTAATTTCCTCGTTCCAGCTCGCCTCGGAGATTTATCCAATTCAAGTACAGCACTGCCGCATAAGGACTTACTTTCCCGTTTATATTCGGTGAGCGCACGTACAAAGCATAACTTTTGATGTTGTTTACCTGGGGGAGGGACTCCAATATACCAGTAAGTGACGGGCATGATCGTCGTATAAACCACAAGATCACATTGTTTATACACGGTACAACCTGGCTTTCCTGTCTCCTGTTTGGGATTCGCGCAGCGTTCGGGGGATTTTCGCCGGCTCGTCACCTATTGCCTTCGCCGCTTTGGCTGCGAGCCTTCAGGTCCCGGGGGGGAACTCCCATATGAAATTGACGGGGATGCTAGTCGGAAATTTCAAATTACACCTCTAAAATTTAAAAGGGACCAATCTGTGCGTGGCTCAAGCCTTTTTTGACCCCTAAAAGATACCATTCACAGTATGATGGTGCTTTTTTATTATTTGTTCGCGTGCAACCCTAAAAGATACCTTGATGGCTAAAAATATCGCCGTTCCGTCCTGAACACCATAAGGGGGACCAAAATCCGTAATTTACTCCCCTAAAAGGGACGACGAGCATCCCCGTCACTTTCGTATGGGAGCCCCCCCCCCCCCTCCCCCCTCCCCGGGCTCTTCAGGTACACAGTAAGACTACTACTGACGGCGTATACCGCGTTTGTTTTAGGAATGGTATCTTTTAGGGTGAAAATCAATTCAACCCACGCCCACAAAACGAGTTCTGGTACCTTTTTTCGATAATTAATTGGGTTTCTTTCGAAATTTCCGATGAGAGTCACCACGGGGGACGGGGGTAGCCTGTCTAGCAAACGCTAGCTGAGCACGCGTCCAAGGCACGCGCGTACGAGGCGTGTAAGGCGTGCCTCGCGCAATGCTCCGCGCTTCGTCGCTAGAAGAAGATGACATATGTTCTTCTAGCCTGCAGTACAGGCGGTTTGGGTGGTGTTTTTTTTTTGGCGAGCGCGCAGACTAATGTTCTTCAAGCTGTTGTTTTGCTTGCTATTGTGCATGGTGGGTGCCCTTTCAGCGGTTTGTCGTTGCCCGAGGGTCAACAATTGCGTGGCAAGCCAACACGTATCGCGCTGTGTACTGAGATAAGAAGTGCTACGAATAAAAAGAAAAGTTGTCACGATGGAACGATTTCATAAGACTCGTAAACAAGATTAAACATGACAAAAATTTTATTTCAGTTTGTCACGAGCGTTGAAGAAAGAAAAAAATCTGAGTCCCCGACGGGAGTCGAACCCATGACCTTCCACACACCGGTTGGATACTCTAACCATTGAGCTGCAGGGAGACTCGTGGCGAGCAGTACAATAGATCAAACATAACTGCAATAAAATCTAGTCAATGACGCGCGAATTGTGAGCGGCGAAGCCGCGAAAGGGAGCCCCGATGGCGAAGCCATGCCGCCGTGAAGGAAAAAAATTATACCAGTCGCAAACGTTTTCTCTAGCACTCGCTACAAGGGACACTTTTAGTTAAAACGTGTGTCACGCGTGGGTCATTAGGGAAAAAATATATTCCGTTGCCCGGGGTAGTACTCTGCCCAATAATTTGGGTTGGGGTGTGCGGCGCACATCTTGAAACCCTTACACTAGTTTAGATCAAATTAAAATATGTGATTTCAGACCTGACCCAAAATTCGATACCCTATTTCAGACTTATGTTTAGATGTAGGATGCAAACCTGCTTTAAATTACCGATGTTAATCAAACCGCAGTGCATTTTTTAGTCAATTTTCACGACACCTATTTTTTTGGTATTTAAATCGCAGAAATCGCGAAAATTAGTAGTCGCTACAGCGGGCCCATCATTCAAAATCTGTAACTGAAACGGACTATGTATACACTCATTTTTTTTTTTGAAGAATATATATTTTCATGCCCAGGCTGAATATTCTTATTTTTCTGCCGATTTTAGGCTGAAAATATTCTTAATACATTCTTAGATTACGAAGTGATCCAGAGTCCCGGGGGGGTACTTAACCCATGTTTGGGTATAGGGGTGCCGCTGAGGGTTTGAAACCCTGACCCTGTTTAGGGCAAAAAAACCCTAAAATACCCACCCTGTGTAGGGCAACACCCTCTATTTTAGGACCCTGTTTAGGGCAAACGACAAAATACACACTCTGTTTAGGACAGGTTTATTTTAGACACCCTGTTTAGGGCAGACTCGCATGAAATTATATACCCTGTTCAGGGCAGAGAGGCCAAAAACCATACCCTGTCCAGCGGCACGTCCCCGTATAGGCCATATAAGGGAGTACCCCCCCCGGGTCCAGAGTATAGTATTTTGGTAAAATAACAGAAATAATACGACCTGCATGAGCTGTACACGTTTTTATCGTTTTGTTAACTTGTACATGGTACATATTAACCATACTTTGAATGAAACATCGTGTGATTTTCTTGCATTTTATTTTCTACTGAATCAAAATGCCAAAACAACCCTCAGCCTTAGGTATATTCTAATTACAAAAAAGGGTGTATTCACATGAGTCACATAATCGTTCTCTTGGAAGCCTATTTAATAGTAGCAGGTGAACAGTGGTCAATAAACAAATCAATTTACGGTATTCATCAACGGTATTCATCATGAATACTGGATAGCTACATGTTATGCCGTCACGTTATATTTCTCGCCCCAATAAAGAAATAGAAGACTAACGCATTCTGTTTCTATTGGCTGATGAAAAGTTTGAAGAGCTTTAAAAGTTCTCTCCTATAGCTTGGGACTTCTTCCAAACCCTCTAATTAAGTAAACATGGACATGTGTCAATGCTGTGGTTTTGAAGATAAAATTCTAATTAACCAGTTTAAGAAATAAAAATAAAAATCCCTGACTAAGGCCATCCAAAATTATTCCCAACAGCACGGTAAAATTCTTCGTTGAATGGCCTGTAGAAGTCACGCAACAATGTCACGACTTCTTCATTCACAGGAGGGTGGGGTCGTCCCTTGGTCTCCGACAAGCATCCTGAAACAGGTTGTTGCCCGCTCTTTTGGGAGGCGGGAACTAAACACGGGAAGCCCTTAGTTTTCGTTAAAGTAGTATAAATGTTTCGTCTATAAACGGCTCCAGGCCCAAGAATTTCTCAACGGATTGCATCTCATGCACTGGGTTCTTGACCAATTCTTCGCCGTTTACGAAGTGAATCTGTTCAATGGGGAAGTATTCCAACCATTTTTTCAAATGATTAATATAGATACCAGTGGTCACTATTGAACTCATTGTTCGAAGCACCTGGTGCTGTGAATCCTCGGTAACATATTCCTCAAAGGGCCTCAGCTCGCCGTGCGATTTATCATACAACTGTGCATAATCTGAAATCGCTCGTACGGTTGGATCGCGCACTACCACTAACAGCTTGACAGAAGGGACATTTTGAAAACTAGACGAGGGGCGTCCTCTGTTACAAAATAGGCAGGCGTTTTCTCGATTGTGATTGATTTTTTAAAGACAGCGGCATTTGATTCTTGTACCAGTCAAGCCCTAGTTGATAGTTCTCCTGGCGGTCAAAGAAGTGCACCTCTATAGGACAAGCTCTCACCATGGGGTGACGTGATATAGAGTCAATGAGGGCCCTTGTTCCCCCTTTCCTTATCCCAACGATAAGTGCGTTTGGGAAGCGTTGATTCCATTCGTTTTCTGTGATGTTAATGTAGAATATGTCAGATAACGGTGACGTATCATAGCTCTGTTTTATCTCGGTGACGGTAAAATCCATCCGTATTTCTTCAGACCGTAGCTGATTGTGAAGAAGGTATATACCATCATTTCTTTCCGCAAGGTAGAGTATACTTGCCGTGACAAGGAAAATACTCACAAAATACAACAAGAATCTCCGCCGACAAGTTTTCCTGAGCATTCTTGATAGCTGCATTAACAAAAGTTTCTTCAGCTTTTCAAGTTCTTATCTTGGCTCAGCTCTTTCAGTTTTGTTAGCAGTTGGTGCCGAGGGAAGTTTGCAAATGAGTTCGATTAACTCTGATATGTTTGTTGATCACTCTACGAAGAAACAAAATGTTACATTAAAACATTGTCAATCTGTTTTTTATTTTTATTTTTTATTTTTTTAAATTATATATTAATTCCATTTTACAATCTAAAACTCTCCCGATTAACCTTCTGAAGCAAGTACTATTTTCGTAAATAATAAATACAGCTTGGCCATGCAATCTAAAAGCCTATCGCGACCCGCTTTCAGCGTCCCGCGAGAAAGGACGCGGGGCGCGATGGAAGGCGGCTGTACGTATTCGCGGGCCAGCAGTGCCTGGGATAGGCTCAAATTAATTCAATGATACTAGCGTGTCCAGGCAGTGCCGGCGACGACATCGCAGGGATTTCGGAGGCATATGGAAACCCTGAGTCGTAAGGCAGTAACGTTGTTCAGATTATTAAAATTTTCGACTAGACAAAAACAATGCAGTTGTGGGAGTAACTACAAGTTAAAATACGAGTTCGAAAACTGAAAGACACAAAGCTATGCAATATATATTACGAGATCATAATATGACTATAACTGATTATAACCGGCCGGCTATTCCACCGAAGAAGGGACAGCAATCCCGAAACGTCTGAATGTTTCAAACATTCAACTCCCACAATTATAATTATTTTAATCTGAAATATGCAATATCTTATTTTATTTTATATGTAGCTTATTTTCTTCAGCTCCACTCTTGGCTATCTCACATATTTTCCTGACACTGGCTATTCAGAATGAATGATTTGCAGTTTAGTACAAAAGGATGAAAGAGCGATGCCAAAAAGAAAAAATAATAACTACCCTGAATGCCAAGTAACTTGACTGGACTGATACAAATACAGTTGAACCTCTCCACAACGGCCACCCTGGTGCAGGATTATCTGGCCGTTGTAGAGAGGTGGCCGTTGTAGGGATGTTTCAATAAGAGTAAAGTGTATGGATCGGCGCACGGTCGGGACGAAAAATCATGGCTGTTGTTGGGATGTGGCAGTTATATAGAGAGGTGGCCGTTAGTGGAGGTTCGACTGTATGAAATAAAATAATGTTAAATATTATTTTATCCCTACCTTTAGGCGTTTGGAATGATGTCCTTAGATTCTAATATCCAATGGTGGCCACTCGAAGTTAATTTTTGTTTTGAAAGGAAATATCCCGGCGTATGGTGATAACCATACAAGAATTCGAAATTTGGAGTCTGAAAACACCAAAGAGTCTTGCAGTTTATAGGCCAAATTTGATTGTTAATTATATTTTTAAAACGAAACTGCTCTCGCGTCTGATGAACCTTGATGGCTTACGTGTCATTATCTGAAACACTCCAAAATATTCATGTTATTTATGTTGCCAAGGAATTCTTCACCACTATTCACTGTTCATCTTTCTTTCAAGTGATTATTTGGGTGCCTCCGGCAGTAGCTCATGCTAAACAATAAATACAAGAAATTAGTTTTTTACGAGGAAGTTTAATTACAAACATGGGCGATTGTTTTATTTTTAGAAAATGTATTTTTATTAAAATAAAAAGCCGACTTTTGCCCAAAATTACCATGGGAATGAAATCAATTTCCTTTATACCAGTTAGCAATAGTGTTGGCCCGTGTTGGCCGGTATCTGCACGATTTGGGGTATACGCGTAAGAATTCTCTGAAAACGTTCCAAATGTTGTCAAAAACATGGTTTTCCAGAGGAAATATTCGAGTTATCAAACTTGATTGAAATAAAGCATATCATAAGTTGGGTTTTCTTTTCCTCTGTTTAATGAAAGCCGCCTCTTTAACTTAGTCCGGACTATAAATAGTCAGCGCTACTCGCTTGATTCCTGCAAAGCTACTGAGGCGGCAGTAAAACTTCCAAAACAACTGAAATAGGCCTCTCCGCTTTTCCTATGTCAGTAAAATAGGTCACAAGGACGCTGTTCTTGAGATCCACGTTTATAAATCCGTTGAGGACACGACGACTGAGAAGTGTTTTTATTTCTGTTGGTCACTGGTCGACGTTGCTATGCTTTTCACTTTCGGTTTCGCGCGCAATGCAAAGTATTTATCTTTTTCAATGACGGTCGTCGTAAAGAAAGTATTTAACAATACCAAACTACTGGAGGCTGCCTATTTCATTTGTGTGGTTTACATTTATATCACTGTCGTTAAACAACAGGGAATATTTCGTGGCTCGGTAAATATTGCTCTGCTGGTGGTATAGCCTGCATGCGTAGCTGGCGGTTTTATTGGCGCGCGATGGCAAAATATGTAGTGGCATGGCTTCGCCACTCCGGCGTATCGCGTATATTTTAGTCAATATAAGTCATACT